CTCACGACATAAAAATGGTAACAAAAAAAAAAATTATAAAAAATGGTAAAAAAAAGCCCCAAAAAACTTTCTTTCAACAATGTTCACTACCATTTTAATTTTTAATATAATAATAATAACATAAATTGAAATATATTTGAATTTATATATATCAAATATATTCAAATTTATATTTTTGTTATATTAAAAAGTATACAAATATTTATTAGCTTATTTAAAAAATATATATAATTGACCAGTTCGATCAACCAATTCAAACAGGTTCATTGGAAAGAAGTTCGTTCAAAGGTACCCAACCTTAAAGTTGACCGATTCACGACTCAACAGTCAGTTTGACCTAGTTTTCGAAAACAATAGTAGCTGATATTATTTTTATTTTTTATATTTTATTACCCTCTACAGTTATATTTCTATTTTTTATCAACCACTATAGTTATAACAAAATTAGATAATTATTTTTTTAAATATATTTATTATTTAATTAAAAATAAACTGAAATATAGAAAACATTGTATAGTAATTAACTTTTTATTTTTTGTCTCAAAACTCAATTTTTAGTATCAAAGATTGTTATATACTTACGACATAAAAATTGCAACAAAAAATACTAAAGAACCATTTTTGCAACATTTGGAACCAAATTTACAACACGATCAATCTTATGGGACCGAATTTGTAATTTTCTCATTTTCAACCTAACGACCAACTGTCACATGATTCGCGTGTGACACTCCTATTATTATTGACGACTTTGGGACTACTTTCGCAACGAAAAAAAGTTAAAGACTGAATTTCTACTAAGTAGGACTAATTTTACAACGAGCTCAATTCTTCGAGACTGTTAGAATATCACTTGTGAGTTGTCCCACATCGTTCATATATGAAAAATAGACCCACCTTATAAGACTAATGGGTTACTCTTCTTTCCACTAATTAGTTTTGGGATGGAGCCCCACTTGGGCTTATATGGGTTTTTCTTGTTTTTCCATGGTGTGCTTCATGATAGTAGGCCCGCACCCTATTTCCCCCAGTTTCTTTCATGGTATCAGAGCCGGTTCTACCGTGCGATGACGTACCCGTTTTCCCCCAAGTACCCGTTTATGGGAGCCTACTTCTAGTAGGCTTGGGCACCAGCCCAGTTGGAGCCTACTTCTAGTAGGCTTGGGCACCAGCCCAGTTGGGCATGGGAGCCTACTTTTAGTAGGGCTTGGGCACTTAGCCAGTTGTGCTTGGACTTTCGAAGGACTTCACAAGTGAGGGGACGTGTTAGAATATCACTTGTGAGTTGTCCCACATCGTTCATAAATGAAAAATAGACCCACCTTATAAGACTAATGGGTTACTCCTCCTTTCACCAATTAGTTTTGGGATGGAACCCCACTTGGACTTATATCGGTTTTTTTCGTTTTCCCATGGTGCGTTTCATGATAGTGGGCCGCACCAATTTTCCCTCAGTTTCTGTCAGAGACTAAATTTGCAATTTCCTCAAAGAA